GTCCATTAAATAGCATATGTTACAGAATAAAAAATTGATTCGAACTGTGAAGTGAAATGAGACGAAGTGAATGAGAAAAACTCATCAAGAGAACGATATTTGCATGTAATAGCTATGAGAGTGAATACAACACGTCTGAAAAGAATGAGAATCCATCTGAATCAGTTTGAAGTGAGCATGTCACAGACAATAGCTCTTCATGCAATCATAAACGATTGCAATCTATAACATTGGTGCATATAGGAAGTGAAAGTACCCGTTTTGGGTAATTTAGAGGTGTCGGGGGAGACAGATGGGGTAACGCTGGCCTGCCAGACCATCAAAAGGGGTAATGGAGCATTCAAACTTGAGAAACACTCTTCTATATGAAACAAAACGAAATTATACGAGAATGAAATCATATTTCCAATGAATGAGAAAACGTCGATTTGGTGCATTGATTCATGAAGTTGATTTTAATTTACCCACGCACAAAATCAGTTATACGTCTTCATCAAATAAGACTCAAACTTATTTGTTTTTCTGTTGAATTAACTTTTTATTCTTCAAGCAGATAGATCTTTCATAAGAATCATTCACAACAGATGAATCATCTCCTACTGCGTTCATTCAATAAGTACCATCAAACTGGCTCTTAATTGCTTATCCAGCAACAGAACAGCATTTGTTCGAATAATCTTCAAGCATTATTGTAGCTGTGTCTCTTCAGCGGTAAGATGTTACCTTATGTGAACGAAGATGGAAACATACTATTATCTTCTGTTATCANTGGTACTGTTGAGCCAGGTAGATACTAGTGATAGAATGTGATCTCGAAATACGTTGAGGCATAATGCATAAGCAAAAATGATCACACATATGACAATACCAAGAAATGTATGAGGTGTTTGATTCGGATTTGAGTCAGAAAGAAGATAATCTTTGAAACTATTTTAGTGCGTAAGTATAGAAGAATATGTAAGGGTTATGTGTTGCATTCGGAACGACTTACAATCAAGTTTTTCGTCGAGTGTTCCTCGAGAAGTGATTGAGAGTGCACCAATGAATTCGTGAAACGATATATGACCATCCTGAAGAAGCACTGAATGGAATCCAATTTGAAAATTCATCTATTGCAAATTTTCAAAGAAAACACACTGAAATCAAAGTGCATTCGAGAGAGAAAAAAATTGTTGGGAGCGACTCATCGCTGATGAATATTCAAAGAAAACAAGCCTTATTACTGTCGAAAACGTTGAAAACGAACGCAGCAAACTTAGACGGATCACCATTGGGAAAGAACTGCTTATAGATACTTTGAAATTCATCCAGTTTCAATTCACCCGTTGGACAGTCTCGCACAAAATCCTTATACCATTTCTTCAGTTCCTTGCGACTAACTGGAATTATCAAAAATACTCTAATTTTTTCACCAAAACACAGCACTAACTTCTTTCCACTTTTTTTGATGTTCCACATTCTCAACACACAACAGAGTTGAGAAAAAATTTCATTTTAGCACTGCGATACTCAGTCTTGNTTTTAAATGTTTCAATGTTTTTTAATGGCTGGGTTTTTTTTCGAAATCGCTCATCAAACGAGCATGTTTTCGCAGATAGCTAATCTGCAATAATCTCAAATCAGTGAATTTGAGATTAGTACACCGATCGAATTCCAGTAAAACTCTCCTCCGCGAACTGAGATCATTGCTGTTGCGGGCCTGAGCCAGACTATGATTTGGCTTGTATCTAATTATTTGTTATTATCCATTGAATTTAATTTGCGTTTGATTGATCAGCATGCTGCATTGGACAGTTACATCTGTCGGCAGTTGATATGTTTATCAACTTTACAGAGGTCAAAAAAATGGTTCTTGTTCTGGTTTTGTTCGCAGAACGCGGAACTCCGACAGACTCGGATTACGTCAGTGGCCTCGAACAAAAACTTAATGAATTACATCCAAAGAATTACATCTAATCAATCATATTTGCATTACATCTCATCAATTTCAAATCAACCTACGAGCAGTTTTACTTCTTCATATATTTCGTCTATAAGGAACATTAAAGAACAATGAAAGTTTATCCGTCATAATCCAATTGGAACGGCTTATTCGTTCATGAATAGATGAATAGTGTGGCTGTAGAATTTCTTTGGAAAAATGTGCAATGTACATGGGTTTTGAAGAATGCTTTGAGACAATTGATTCTCTGAGTAAAATTCAAGAATTCTAACTCATTCAGAATGTATGAGGTGTTGTTATTTAAAAGAATGATATGATCGAGAGGTTTTGAGTTCTTCATCGAATAGTAACGATATCGTTGAAGACTGATCAGTTGATTTTGTGTAAGCATCACTTATTTACTGCATTTTTTCAGGTGAACACAGTTTGAGTGGAACATTTACAGAAGAAAAATGAACAAGAGAAACGTTCGAATGATAAATTAACGAGTTAATTCAAGTGCATTTTTGTGAAGAAAAATAGAATTTAGGGATAAGTGATCGATGACTAGGCCAAAAACTAAGAAATCTGGTAATAATTTCAGATGCGGATGATCGTGTTCACCAGGGATGAACAGGAAAAGTTCTCATATCTAAAGCCGGGACCATGAACCGCCGGCTCCGGAACGTTACGGTTGACTTCTATTGCTTGTGCTCAGATTTGGATTGATGGAACAACTGTTGTCGTGATCAAAAATTTCTCTTATAATGACATCCCTCAACGATTGTGAGTGCCGCAAAAAAAACGTAATAAAGGCACGACCAAATCTTGAAATGCTTCAGTGGTCCAATAAAGAGAGGAATTTTAGCGAAAATTAATATGTGAGCCTTGTTGAACTGCTTCTCATAATGAATAATAAGTATGTTTTGATTAGCTGAACTCTGAAGTTACAACAGAAAAGATGGATGATTTGATTCAAGCATCTGTGGTGAAATGTCGTATGCGTAGGTTTAATGGCATATATGACATTATTTTCGAGGCAATTTTAGGTTTTTACGAGCTTAATGGCTTTGTCTGACGGCATCATTGAGAATGTACAGAGAAGATTAGTGGTGAAAAATAACAAGGCGAAGCCTACAATAGGTTTTCATCTCGAGATCGTGCAGTTCCCCAGATGAAAGTCTTCGATTGGCTTTCTTCGGCTTATCCCCGCGTTCCGGTGCTGCTGAGGCTTCTTTGCTGTTGTTTTTGCCCATCGACAACAGTACACATTAAAATTGAGTTGTTGAATGCGTTCTGTCGTTTTTCCTAATTAGCACATTCGACGTGCCACTCACTGCCTTTGCCTCTTCCTAACCTAACTTCACAGTTGAAGTCGTCCGCTCGCCTATGTCTCCCAGTATCTCCTCCTGCAAAATCATTCACGCCTTTAATCGATAGCCAAAATTGTTTTCGTACGTTTGATGCATTTGATCACTAAAGATAAAAGCAGTACACATTAAAGATAAAAGCGCTTGATCACTTCGATAATATGATAAACACTCTGAAAAACAATGCTGCCGTGAACGGTATACTGACAATGAATAAGATGAAATTCAAATGAGATAGGTGCCGTGCCGTACGCATGCAGATTTGTAAACGAGAAACGCAAAATTTTATTTTCTCTTTTTCAATTCAACATCGAAATTTGATGGAATAGAATTTTTGTCGAATTTTGTTTACGAAGTACACTGTAAGAATTGCATCGACTACACGATACACATTTCTCATTGATAATAGATGAAGTTTATTTAAGACATTTATATGCTGAGCATTCACATTATCGTATTCAACGGAAGCAACTGCCAGTAAACATCTCATTCACAGAAAACAACAGCATTTCCAGCCTCTATAAAAAGCACTCAATGAACTCGAAAAGATAAGATGAGATGACTTGAAGCCAGCCAGCACTATCATAGCACCTCACCATAAATCTCGTCGTTTTTCATTTTGCAGAAATATTTGTCGCTTCCTTACAAAACCTTCCATAGTTACGGACTGCTGGTATACGATAATCGCTCGGAAGCAATGGCGGAGCCAGGATTCTTTCCGGGCGGAGGAGGTATGCAAAATGGCCTGGTTCATAAAAATATCTGAACTTTAGGGTGTATTTCTCCGTGTTTACTCTTTCTTTTTTCGCATCCTTTCTTATCCTCCTTCTTTGTTCTCCTTTCTCTCCTCGTTTTTCCTTCTTTTTCCCTTTCCTCCACTTTCGACAGAAATAAAGGGGGATCTCTGTGCGCCTCACCCCGCTGAATACTTCACTGCTTGGAAGTTTATTTTTCGAAGAATTAGGTTTTGTTCGTACGAGTATTTCATCGGAATTGTTTTCGTGAACCACATGCAGCAAACTATTAAAGATCGGCGGCGCACATCAAAGTGAGCAATTCGAATTGATTTGCGATAATAACGTTCTTAAAATCGCTGTTCGCTAGTGATTTTTTATGACGACGATCAGAAGAAAAAATAAGTAATCGAATGTAATCAAAAGATTGAACATTCAATGGATACGTGTTCTGAACAAATCAAAAACGATCGAATTAATCGAATAATCGATACGAATTATTTGAATCGAATTTCAACATGGAAATCGCACGAAATTGCTAAAATTCTTCCCAAATTTTCCCACGAAATTGAAAATATTCATTGAATAACGCTGCTGATTGTTGATATAAAGATATTCAATTTGTTGTAAATGATAGCTGGCGACAGTAAACAACGATAAGAATGAATTACGTCAATTGTGAGATGAGCAAATGAAATTCGAATCTCATTAACATTACAGAAAACTATCAAGCATCTAATGTGAATTTCCATAGCAATCGTGAAGTATTCGAATTTCTCACTGAAAACGTTCTTTTTTTTCGCACGAAGTCAACTACTAAATGAAAGGAGAGGTCCCACTTAAGACAAGCAATTGTTAGTTGTGTATCACAGCAAAGGCGGATGAAAATCGGATGAAGAACGATTGGGCGGGCGGAGTTTGTTCACTGAATGGTGCTGTTCGACGATAAATTCATGCAGAACTCAATTCAACAAGTCGCAGCCTTATAGAGAGGAATCCTCGCAAGAAAGCGGATCTATTGTTATTGGTGATAATAATGTGCAATATTCACCACCACCACCACATCAAATTAACTGCCAATAATCACTCGCAGAAAAGCACTCATTCATGTAATAAAATCAGTTAATAAACAAGTGCGATTTATAAGAGTGCGATAACTCAGTCAATGGTCACGTCACAATGTTCACGTCCACTGCTAACGAAACGAAACAAATCAACTCTCCAAGTTCAGCATACAAGTCTTCTAAAAGTATGGTAGATTCAGCACAAAACTGACTAATCACTGGTTGTGTATAAAGATGATCATTAATAACCGAATTGTTAACAACCACTATGCAGAGTAGTAAGCGAGCAATTGAAAAAAAAAAACGTCTCAGTATGAATTAATTGATTAGACTGTTCCCGTCGGGCGTATTTATCATCGCAGTTCGTCAAATTCTGAGATGCGTCAAAACGGAAATGGCCGTATGAATGAATACTGATAGAGTTAATGATTCAAAGATGATTGTATTTATTGTTGTTGAAATGAGCTGACTTATGAACGCTCAAAATTGACACTTTTCAATAGGAAGAATAGTTCGAGGTGAACGAATGTTACTTGCTATTAGTGATTTATAAAGACAAATTCGCTTAATATCGTGACATGCGCTAAAGATTTCGCTTTTATAATTTTCATCACATTGTCACGATTCAGCGCTATCCATCCGTTGTTTCGTCCATTGTGTATCTGATTACAACACTTTTGGATTAACTCTGAACTTCTATTGCTTATTGGGAACATACTTTGCATTTTTCGCTATCATTAACAAAAAACTATATTCACCATTGTGAGTTCTTCATTGTGCTTTTTCGAATAAACTGAAGGCAGAATTCACCAAATCTGAAATAATAATAATAATAAGCATTTGCTAACTCAAAACATCTGTTTCAGTTCTATGCAATCAATCACCGCTCGATTGCGTCTGTTCCATTACACATTCATCAATTTCGATTATGATAATGCACTTCAACAGAAAATCACGACGACAGGAAGTTAGTTGGTGCTTTGTTCCGCATTCAAAAACAATTGTTGCGTGAAGTAAGTGATGAAGCATTGAAAACAACTCGTCACTTCGGCAATAAGCAATCACTCGACGCATCAATACAATAAATCATGATAATTGTCGCTCATGTATCCACCTCAGCAATGACCGAAGGTGATCGAAAAATTTTCGTAATCCGGGCGACGAATGAACACGAACAAAAGACGAACAATGGTTTTGTAGAGAATCCTTCGGAAACATTGCCATCATAAAAATTAATACGTATGCGAATGCATGAAATAAACTATAGAATATATTCACTGAAGGCTTGAGTGAATAATTTAGTGATTGAAATTCGTTTCAGACAATATGAGGTAATCTCAGGAAAGCCCATGGGTACAGTTCAGCTCCTATAAACTTGGCCATGTATGTAAGAGCTAGACCGAATTTGATAAGAGTAAAATCACTCTGGATGCTCCCTGAAAGATGCCAACATAGAAATTTCAGTGACATGAGTAAAATTCATATTCAGTGTAGTGTACAAGTAGGAATGGAATGGGTCATACTAATTTAACTATTGTTAAATGTTTCGGAATATTTTCCAAAATAAAATCGGAGTAGCAGAACGAACCTGTCCTAAGAGTTCCCCCTCAAGATAGAACAAGCTGAATGTTTGCGATCACTTGAAACGAAAGTATTAGTTTTCGTTTTTTTTTTTCACGAACATTTACCAGCCACCATATTTATTCAACAACAGCCATAAATCAGTATTCAACGCTTTCACTTTCGTTATCCACTAAGAATCAGCGAGACACATTCAGCGTTATTTATGTTCATTCGAATCTGCTAACACGAATTTTTCGAAGTTCAGTGCAAACTGAACCATAAAAATTGCATAAATTATTGGCCAAAAATATTTCCTATCACTTACGACTTAGTAACACAAGCTGAATTCATATCAAATATCAAAGATATCAAATTAGATATCAAATCAAGCGTTTTTGAAAACTCAATTTTCTGCAACAATACCCAATTTGGCAGTTTACATTTGCGCGTTTCTATTATATAAGATAACTTCACATTCAGATATCATCTGATTAGCTTTTTGAATGACTGCATTAACGCTGTATATCTCTCAACCAATGCATTCATCAGCACGAAACACCATTATTCGTACTTATTCAAAATAACGATTCCGTTTCGAACAGAAAATCATTACGTTTGACATTTTAACATCATAAAATTTCTGACAATGAATAATTTCTCATATTCGCTTGATCGCTTCAAACTCTAATGAAGAACACCTCAATCTCTAAGCCATTTTGAACGATCGAATGACAACGACCATTTTTCAATACTTGAAAATTATAACGGATTATATTGTAAGTGAGCGATTTGGAAAATGAGCATTCCGGTGAATTGATGATACTCATAATGAATCGATGTCGTGCTCAGCAAACACGCTTGACGTTTCCGAGAGAGAAGACGATGAAATTAACTTCTTCGAGAGGTATACACAAAAACGCAGTTGGCGATGTTTGCTGATTGTTGCATAGAGCTTTTGTGTAAATTACGGAACAGTGGACGAATCAACGATCCCCACATATCAAAGTATGAATCGAGTGTGCCTACGAATAAGCTATTTGGTCGTAACGTTGATTTCAGCATGAAATTGTGACGCAAAATTGTCAATTTTCGAAAATATCCTCATTTTCTGAGAGAAAAAATCATTCCCTAAGAACTACTCTGCTGTAAACCTTTCATAATTCATCCAACTACCGAGAACACTGCCTTACCTTCGTATTCAACTAAAAACCGCGTGAATGTCATTGATGAAAGCAACAGAGAGTGAAAAGTAAACACGCTTGACGTTTTTCACGTTTCACTTGTAGGAAAAGGAAAAAAGAACATAACACCAGTTTTTTTTGGTTACATCTTTAATGCTTTATTCACTCAGGATCCGACTCTAATTTGTTCGAGTAATGGTTTCATTGAATTTTTGTCATCTTTCCTCATTATCCTACAAATAAAGGGACTTTCACAATAAATTATCATGGGAAAACGCAATTAATTATTTTTCGACAGAGGTTGTTAATCCATGCTTAGAACAGCGAACAATTAAGACGAAAAC